AGATGAGAAAACAAAAAGAATATCTATAAAAAGCTGTAGAGGAGGGTTTAGAGCAGCCGCTTAAAACTGTCCACAGATTCAGTGAATCTGAGTGAATGGGAAGACTATTCCACAATGTTGGGGCTAAAACAGCGAAGGGCCGATGTGTGTTAACACACTGTACTGTATGTTAGAGTATTGTCAGTTTGGGCTATGCTTGCTGTTTATTAACTAAGTGAACAATTGACTAACCATTGCTAACATGCTATAGTAATTCCATATTCTTGGTGTAGGACAACCAAACAGACCTGGTAGCATCGTGGCAGCGACGTGACGGCGTTCAGCAGCTCTGCATGTCGCAGGTTGATGACGCGCAGGTCTGATCCCTGGTTCAGGAAGTGCAGCTGAAGCGCGACCAGCTTGGCCGTCCGAACACAGCGACTCGCCTGACGGACGCACGAGTCCTGGAGACACACAGAGTCCATTTTTTAATCTTTCGGGGCATTAAAGGAAGGAGCAGAACGACGTGTGGAGGCGTTCAGGTACCTTGGAGAAGCTCTCTGCGGCGTCCTTCAGCAGACCCAACACTTTGAGCAACGAACTCTTCAGATCAGGAGTGACGACTGCTCAGAGACAAGTTCAAACAGTCAGAACCAACATTCACATTCAGAGGCACATTGAGTTTTCGGTGTGTTTTCTGGCTCACCCCAGGCCTGAGACTCGATGATCTTCAGCTGCGTTCTGGCGGCCATCTCGTGGTTTTCTCCGATCTCCCTCCTCATGCTGAAACACAGCGCCACCATGTTGTGCTTCTCGCTGTCCGCGGGGAGGCAGCGCTTTATGTAATCCAGCAGAGCCGTCTTCAGACTGGAGCTCTGCCACCGCAGGGAACCACCGGGATTGAGATCGAGATACAGAATTTGTCACCAAGGAGGCTAAATAAAGCTCCAAAGTTAGGCTTAAATTTGGCGATGGAAAGACTGACATGGCCATTTTCAAAGGACTGATGTCTTTACTGGTTAGCATTAGCGAGCTATAGCCCGGAGAAGCGAAATGTAATTGACTCTGAATGTTCAGATTTAGATTCACCTGTCTTCTGTCCGTGTCCATCTTCTTCCTCAGCAGCATCTCAAAGCGGTGGTTCTGATGCAGCAGGTCGAAGACGTACGTCATCTCATTGTACCTGCCGATACCCGTCAGCAGACGCACCTGCTCGCACAGGAAGGAAGAAAAGCCTTTTAGCAAACTTCAGGTGGATTTTTGTACTTTTCAGAGCAGAGAGAGTCTGTGGGTCGGTGGGCGGGGCTTACCAGCAGGCTGTAGTGCTCTCCCGGGGCGAGGTAGGTGTGGCTGAGGTGACGGGCGGCTTGGAGCACGCGGACAATCCCCTCCATGTTACAGGTGAGACTGAAACAGTCGTGAGCCACGATCAGCAACTCGATGACTACAGGAGAGGGAGAAGAAAGGACTTTATATTTCATTTTAAACACAACAACAACAATATTATATTGTTGATAGTGATTGATAGCAGATAGTGTGCAGCCGGTAACGGTTGTTGAGACCGAACCAAAGAGGAAATAAAACCAAAACAATTTTTAAAAATGGCAGCTAAAAAAAAGTGTGGACGAAAGACATCTACTAAAGCCTCTTTAAATGCTTCACACTCTACTGAACATGCTGATAAATTCTGTGTGTTTATGTGTTGTTGGTGTCATACTGCAGCTCAGGTCTCGCAGTGGAACAGCGTTGAGGTTTTCCAGCAGTTTGACTCCCACCAGGTTTGGATCGTCACACAGTTTGATCAGCTGGACCAGCGAGTCCCGACCCTCCGACGGCCTGAACACCTGCCTCTCTGCTGGGTCGCACACACACAAACACCCTCTTATTGGCCGCCTGCTTTCAGAGCTGATTATTAAAACTGATGCTAGCAGCTAAAAACTACGGCCTCTGTAGATAAAAACGTCTCATTCTAATGTATGTATAATGTTCCACACTGTACCTTTAAATTAGCAAAGGTCATATGTCTCTCATAAAGCCTCTTCTGGTCAACGTATGGTTAGCAGGAGTTCTTCAGGGTTCAATTTTAGCTCCTATGCTTTTTTCGATTTGACTAGTTTTTGTTCTCTCCTCTGTAAACTTATTATGCCACATACAGTATTTACAGCCTATTCTAGTTTGTAATGCCAGTTCCAGGATAAGCTACAAATGAACAGGACTCTACAATATCTTGGGATTGCTGGATGGGCAAAATCAATATGTCAACACTTTGGGCTCTTAGAAACATGTGATGGGCATATTTTTTTAAAAACTATTTTCTGACATTTTATTGACTAAACAACACCAGAAAAACTCAGATTTTATGCATGAAGAAATCAACATTTTTACTACTATTACTGCTGTTAACCTTTTCAACCAAGTGCTGCATCAAACAAAGATTATTGCTTCGATTGTGTCCACCTCAAGAGGAAGCCAAAATATATCACTCTAATCTTGAGCTCTGTAGAAACCAGAATATTTAGATAATCCATGAGCTCACCAGGCTGCAGCTCCTGAGTGGAGGCCAGCAGCGACTGGACCATAGCAGAGGAGACCAGCTCGGCCACAGAGTCTGCAGACAGACCCTGAGCTTTGATGAAGGCCTGAGCCTTCCTGAAGCGCTCCGGCTGGTCCGACAGCAGAAGCTTCTCCAGCACTGAGCGAGGTTCCTCCCCGTAGACCTGACTGAAGGAACACTGCAGCTCCTGGACACAAAACACAACGCGTTAAAGACAGTTTATCCTGTTCGAAAGGTCTCATATGGAACCTTTAAATACTTTATAAAGGACACGTATTTCTCATGTAGGCGCAGTGTTGGGTGGACTGGTGGTACCTTGGATAGCTGGTAGAGGCTGAGGACTTGTTTGCAGTAGTTGTTGCCATGGCGACATTGATCTACTAGTTTTTGGAGCTGGACAGCGACCTCGTCGTCGGGGAGCGGGAGCATCACGAAAGACGACAGGCTGCCGAGAGAGGGAGCTGGAAGAGGCAGAGAGGGGAAGGCAGCATTTCAAACGGATTAACTTTTGTTGGTATCTAATCAGCAGAGGTCACATAAAGCCTCGGTTACCACAAAGGTTCCTCAAGGTTTGATTTTAGGTTGTCTTTTTCTTTCAATTTGTGTAATATTTGTTCTCTCCTCTGTAAACTTGAACTGTTTTTCCATTGTTGTTATAATTCTGAAGTATTTAGTGAAATGTTGAGATGCTGGATCTTAAGTTATCAGAGA